TTTTCGATGTAAACAAGTAACTCCGCAGCAGGGGAGTCTGGAAAAAGAAGCCAGTTCTGAAGTATTTACACAATTTAAAATAGAACTTTTATACCCACCAGATAGATATAGATAATACATTGAGCGATTTGGTTAAATTATCTATGAAACTATAGAATCTGACAATGTAAAAATACAAGAAAACGTTCTCTCGTTTTAGAAGGTAGACAGTTAAATCACACTAGAAATAAATCTCTTCTTTAAAAATAATAACAATAATAATAAAGGAAAGGCATAAGAATCCATGCCATCTTTTAAGGTTAAAGTATATTACATAAATAAGGACACAACGGAACAGAACTGGGGAAAAAAATTAAGTGAAATATAAAAAACCACTACCAATTAAAAAAACAAAAAGACTAAAAACTTGATTCTTAATCACAGAGGGATCAATTCTGCTACTTTTACTTACTCTGCAAGTAGAAAATTGCAGAGCTAAGTAGTGCTTACTCGGCATGAGGAAGGGAGGCAGAATTGGCCCCTAATAATTATTAGCAGTGTCCTTTTACTTAAAAAAAAGAAGAAAAAGAGAGAATTTAGCTTTTTTTTTAATAAATAACAAAGCAGATGTGCCCCTTTTTTGGTGAAATTCTTACACCTTTCTCAAGAAATGCATCAATTTAACCTTTCTCTCTCTTTCTCACATGCATACACACACTCCCTCCCCAACGCAGTATTGACCGCAGCGTGGTTCTCGGCTCGGTGCCGTGGCCATGGCCGTGGGCACTGTGGCCAGGCTGCCACCGCCACCCCGACCCCAGGGTGGGCGAGGGAAGAGGAATGAAACCCGAAGGCTGCATTTGGCTCTATATTGCTTGAGATTGTCGGGGATGAACTACGACGCTTAGAACAGAAAGGGTGTCAGGGCTCAGCTACGAACAATGATGTGTCTCAGTATTCAGCATACCTCCAAAAAGAAATTAAAAAAACAAAACAGAAAAAAAAGAAAAAAATTGTGCTGGTCTGCAGTTGCAACATTCGTTTGCATGGACCAGCGCTGAAATCAGACACTCAGGACTGTAATGTGGTGACTGAGCTGCTGCTTCGTTAAAGAAGATGTGCAGCCCAGCCAGCTGCACTCAGTAGGAATCGGGATCAGCCTTTTCTTTGGGGCAACATTGAACCTAAAACCCGGGATTGTCCTCTGCATTCAGCCCAGACGCTCAAACATTTGCTCCTTCCTGCGGAGCCCCAGGGACCCGCTGGATTCCAGCCAGAAACCCAGTACTCAACCCTGAACAACGAGCTTTTCTGGGGCAAATCTGTGCAAAAAAAGCAAACGGGCATTTTATCATGAAATTCTTCACATTCAGCACTTCCCCAGAGTACCTGCAGGTAACTACTGGGGGACATTCTATAGTTACATATTTTTAAAAAAATAAATCTCCTCCTCACTTATTGCCTACCATAGTACACCCTTTTGCTCCCAGTTTCTCTTTGAAGTAGCGCTCCTGCCCGCCCCGCAGCCCCGTCCCTCGCAGGCGGCGGGGGCCAGCTTCCCGGGGCCGGGACGCAAGGCTTCCCTTTTCGGGGCGCCCAGCTCTGAGCTGCACCCACGCCAGGGCACCTGCCGCGATGCCACAGGCTGGGCGGGATGCAAAGCTAATCCGTGGGGCAAGGGGTGCCTCTGGCTTCCCCGGCGCTGTGGGCTGCCTCTCCCTGCGCAGCAATGCCTGGGCACGGCTGTGCTCCTGCCCCATTTCCCCATTAACATCCGAAACAGTCACAGGTGGCTCAGGGAGTGGAGCTCTCACCTGCCCCTTGTGCCTGAGCCCTCCTTCCTGCCCCTTTGCAGATTCAAGCACTGCGAGATAAAGACACTTTTATATTTAAAAAAAAAATAAAAAATCGAGTGGAAACTTATTTTTCACCACAAACCCTGCGTGAGGGATTCTAAACCCAGCAGACCTGCGCTTCTTGAGCCGAACACCCTCCACTCTCACCCAGTCCTGAAAGGCGGGGGAAGCCCCCAGAGCAGGCAGCACGTGCCCCGGGGCAGGCAGCACGTGCCCCCCTGCTTTTCCCTGCTGCAGCGATGGGCTGGCAGGTGCGGGCAGCGGCAGAGGGGGGCCCAAGCCACAGTTGTTCCTCTGCGCCTTTGCACACCTCTGCGCATAGTGCATAAGTCCTGGAGGCATTTCTTAGGGAAGAAGGGAAAACAAACCATCCCAATTTAACGGGGAAAAAAAAAACAGAAACAGACTAAAAAAAAAAAACAAACCCCAACCCCACTTATAGGCTTCAGGCACCACGAAGACCACTTATTGCATCTCTTCCTACCCTACGGGTGCAGTACTGATCGGCTCTGTGCAGGACGAGCCCTCCCCTTCCTGAGCCCCGGCCTCAATATCCAGAAGCCAGGCACGGGCAGGGGCCGCAGGCTGTCCTGGGGCGCCAGCCACAGGAAAACAATGTGAAATTTTATATCTGGGTACACCGAAACCAATGCTTGGGAAGCGACTGAGTGATCCCAGGAGAGGGCTTCCCCCGACTCTGGAGCCCCCAGCTCTACGCTAACCCTTCCCCTCCACCACGCTTGATGCATCCCCAGCAGGGCCCGGCCGTGGGGGCTTGGTGCCCCCGGCTGAGCAGGAGATGGAAGAATTCCACTTACTTTGCTTTTTTTTGTTGTTTTTTTGGATTGATCGTTTTCTGAAAAACATCAGCACAGCACAGGACAGTACTACCCACCCTAAATGTGTCGCTATATACATTCTACGTAAGCTCTATAGCAATCACATGTAAACATCATCGTTGTGAGGAAATACTAGGACAGAAAAAGGCAAAGCTACAATGAGGCAATTGCCAATAGCAGATGCTCAGTCTCAGCCAGAGCTACTTGTGTTTGCTAAGGTGGGATGAGAAGTGGGGGGAGCTTGTGGCAGGAGAGACCCCGAACCTTGCTGCTGAGACTGAAATGGCACAAGGACTGTTCCCTGACAGTGATCGTCACCGGCGGCAGATTGGGGACCTGCAGCTCAAACCCTGCGGTGGCCTGTGGGCGCTCGCACTGCCGGGCTGGTTGTCGTCAGAGCCACAGCTCCCCTGACAGTGGGGAGAAATAGCCAGGTAACTGCGCTGGTATCGGCGCTGCCAGCCTTTATTCCTGCTCCTGCCGGAGACCAGCTGCACACACGGCCCCGGAGCCAAGGGCCACCTCAGCAGGGCTTGGGCTCTTGGCATCGCATCTTGTGCAATTTCGGAGGCTTTGGTCATACTCCTTGCAAGATGAAATAGTACCCACGTTAAGGAAATGAGAATAAAACCCCTAAGTCACGTTGAGGGGAGACCCCAGGAGACTCTAATCTATCTATTGGCAGAGTTAAGGCTATAATATTCTATCTACATAGGATGGCTGAATCCCTAGTGGTCTCTGGGTCTGAAGAATAAATGGAGATGATGGCGATGGCTTGAGGAGTAGTGAGATTCCCGCTCCCTCGGGAAAACAGTGCCTCTGGCCGGCTCGCGGTGGGGTTTGCTCCAGCGGGCGGTGGGCTCTCTCCCCCTCCCACCTCACCCGGAGATGGAGGGCAAGTTTGCAAGCAAATTTCGCGGGGATGCTGCTTGAGCATGCCTTAAATCCAGCACTGCTGGGCAGCCTCGAGGGCCCTCGGCCAGAGGCAGAGCAGGCAAGCGTGCCATGGGGTGCTGGCGGCCATGAGGGATGGATCCTGGGGAAGCATATGGCTTATCAGGTACCGGGCAAAGGGCGGGCAGGGCGTTGGGTGGAGCAGACGTTCGGAGTGGCTGCTGTGCCCCCTCCCGCCTCCCTGCCTCTGGATTTTGGGCTGGCTGCCAGGCAGGGATCACAGATGGGTCTTCTCGCCCACTTGCTTTGCAGGAGATGGAAGTGAATGGGGAGCAAGCCGCTCAGCCCGGCTGGTCTCCCAGCCGCCCAAGGAGCCGGAGAGAAGCCAGCTCCCTTGCACATACCTGGAGGCGCCTGTCCCTCAGGCTGTGCCGGCAGGACCCACCAGATCAAGCCTGGCCGGGTCCAGCCCCAGACCCCTCTCCCCTGGCTCCAAAGGCAGCGGAGGGCTGGAGCAGCGCTGGCTGGCAGACATCGGTCCCGCAGCCCCCTGGATACTGCATCCTTCTACCACCCCTCTCCTTCATGCCTGCAAAGCTGCCTGGCCCCATGGCGAGAATGGCACGGGGCTGGTGTGCCCCACCGCCCGCCGGCTCCATCACACACCACGACCGAGCCCAGCACCAGGGTGCTGCGACCCAGCCGGGCTGGGGGTCGGGGGGCTGGGGGGCTCAGGCCACGCGAGCAAGAGGAATGGCTTTGACAGCAAAGTGGGTGACCCCGACGTGACTGCCGAGCACCCTGGTTTGCCGGTGGGGGAGGCAGGTGCCTCCGCAGCCGACGGGTGAAGGACGGCTCCGTGACTCTGCTCTGACCCCCCGTTTGCTGAGTGGCAAGTGCCTCATTACAGTGCATAGTTAAAAATCAAGGAAGCGGTACAATAAATCTGAATTACAGTACATCTGAGCCATAAATACATTTTTTTAAGTATATACTTTTTTTTTCTCTTCTTCTATTAAAAATTAGTTTATAATCCTGATTCTATTCACAATTAACAATTTCATCATCACACACTACGGACAAAAAATGTTATGGTGAACACAGCTGCAACTCCGCGGCGGGAGCACCGGGGGGCCGGGAGTGGGGAGAGGGGCCGGGGGGCTCCTAGGCTCACCCTAAAACAACCAGTCAGAAGCAGGGGACTAACGTGTGGCAGTGAGACATCAACACCATGGGGACTCACAGACAGAAGCAGCTTTGTTCAATGTAAACATCGATCAGAAGGGACAGCAGTCTCTCTCTCGTGCGTGCGTGCTCTCGCTCTCTCTCGCTCTCTCTCGCTTTCCATAGACTGAATAATTTCTTTGAAAACGTAAACATATTGGAAGTGCCTTGACTGAGGTATTGAGGTATTCCTCCAAGGTTAAGGCTGTTACCGATGCAGGCTTAGCTGGGCCTCCTGCAGCAAGCTGTCGAAATCCATGGTCTCGTACTTGCTTTTCACTGGAGCTGGGGAGGACTCCTCCACGCTGCAATCTGGGAACAGCGGGGACACAAGGCAGCCAGGTCAGGGAGCGGGGCACAAGCACACTCGCCGCCTGGCGGGGAGGGAAACCGAGGCACGGCGGGGCACTGCTCGCTCCCCTGCTAAGGGCATGCTTCATCCTGGCACCGCAAAGCCAGCCTGGATGAGGTGGTGATGGGGAAAGGGAGCGGGGACGGTGCTGTCTCTCCCCCATGGACAAGAACTGTTGGGCAGCGGGGCTGTAGCAGTGCCCAGCCCGGCAGGTCACACACCGCGGGCACCCATTGCCAGCTGCGCACAAATCTGCCAGCTGCAGCTGAATTCCGAGGCGCTGACACAGGACCGTCGCTGCGGGAGCCATGCCGGTCGCGGGGAGGGGGCTGCCTGCCTGCAGCGCTCCCCAGCCCTCCATCAGAAGCTGAACAAACAGTGCCACCACAAAGCCTGGGAAATTCAGCAAATGCCAGAAATAAGGCTGCCTAATTTAACAGCAGCTTAACCCTTTTGGATGCATATTTTTGAACAAGCCATGAATGACATGGTTGCATTTCACCTCTGCCTGTGGGCTCCCGTCTCATCCTGTACCAGGGTGAGCAGGATTTTAGGAACGAGCCAGGCTGTGCAGTAAGGGGTGACTGCTGGCCTTGCAGCAATCTGCAGGTGAGGAGCATTGAGGGGGGTTCTCCTATGCAGGGCGGCAGCTCTGCCCCCCCCCTCCCCACAGCACTGCACAGCCACGTGCCAGCATCTTCATCACAGGGTGCTGCCTGTTTCCTATCTTCTCCATGCGCAAAATGAGAGGCCCTGGGATTTCTTTATATGAACAACAGGCATTTGCGCCCACAACCAAAGTCAGAGGGATTGCTGCTCTGAGCATATGAGATATAAGGTGCTAAAAGATCGGGCAGTACTTGTGTCAGACTAGGCGTCTAGAGATAAGTCAAGACTTAGGGCTTTATTTTCTGGGCCTCAGTCTCTCATGCATGAAGTGGGATACTAGAACCACTTCACCCCCTGCAGAGGGTACAGAAATAAATGCACGGTGTTTGTGAAACACCTGGAGGTCACAGCAACGAGGGCTGGGCGAAGGCTGAATCACACTTCTCTTGCAGGACTAGCGCAGGGCTTCGCTGCCATCCCTCAGCCCAGGCTGCAGCCCTACCACCCACGGAGGGACAGGGTCCAGCGAGGCCCTGGCTGACGCGGTCACTGAGTGAGGCAGGAGGTCTTGCAGAAGCTCGTACAGCACAGAAAGAGTTAATGCGACCACAGCACATTTCAGTGCTGTCATTTTGGCTCAAAAGTGCATGTGCAGTGTGGTGAATCTGTCCTGTGGAGAAGCAAACCACCCACATCACCTCTTGGGCTAATGAGATGTTGCTGACTGCTTTCTCTAACGACTAGGAAGGGACTTCTCTGCTGGCAAGGGTCCAGCGCTGTGCAGAAACGCAGCGGAGACAGGATGGGCTGTGGTTAGCTGACACCCAGCAGCCCTGGGGCGTGATGCTGCATTTGGCAGCCAACACACTCCTCACTCCAGTTGCTTTTCATCTCTCCCCCGTTTCCCAAGCCATCTGACTGAGCTAAGAGCAGCTACGTGAGACATAGGAGAGCCGGTGGGCTTTCCCTGAAGGCTCTAAAGAAGTTGAGGATCCTTGCATGACTAGGGTTCA